CAGCCTATTCCCAGCTCCACAAGCAACAGCAAGGAAAGGCTTGGTGTACTTGGCCTTCACTTCACACAGCAGCACTGAGTGCTGGCTTCTCCTCTCTCCTCCCATCCAAACTAAGTATCAAAGTCACTGTCCATCCCTGGTCATGCTGCTAACAAAGATTTTAGCATATAGATCCATGCAGTATTTCCTCACCTCTGCCTTTTAAAGGATAATATGCTTTTTACATGGAGAGGATAAACGGTAACACCCTTGTCAAGAAAAAAAAACTACCACTAGAAAGCAATAGTCACAATTCCTTTCTATTTATTTATTTTTTCAAATTGACAGAGGGTATGTGGGCTCTCCCGTGAGAGACAAAGAAACACAGAGAGAGGAAAAGAGCACTTCCCAAGGCACACGGCACTCAGAAATCCCTTCTCCTCCATTTCCGCATCCTGTCGGGATTTTGGGCACACATGTTCACCCATTTGGCATGTTTTTCACGCAACAGGGGCCAGAATTCCAACTGCAGTCGGACAAGTGGAATCTAGAATCCCTTAACCACTAGGCTATGGAGCCAGCCCAAGTCACATTTCTTAACTATCAAAATTAACAAATTCTAAGGTGAATATTTGTGTCCTTTATTTCTCCATATTAAATAACTTGCTTCTTATACGGTAAAAATCTCCTCTACACTCAACAGTGACTTTTTCTTTCATTTGTGTGCCCATTCCATGATGCAAGCTGTAATTATAGTGCTCTAGAGATCAGCAAGCTTTTGCTATAAAGGGTCAGATAGTCAATGCTGGACATTGCGTGCCACACATCCCTGTGGCAACTTCTCTACCATCGTCGGGTAAAGCAGCCACAGACAATACCTACATCAACAAGCATGGTTATGTTCCAATCAAACTTTATTAATGGACACAACTTTGATTTTCATACAATTTTGGGGTGTCACAAAGTATGCTTTCAAAAGTTTTTCTCAGTAATTTAAAAATGTACAATCCATTTTTGTTTGCAATGTGTAAAAGACAGGCTGGACTGGGCCCATAAGAGACTTGGTTGGTAGTTCTCAGACCCCTAAGATGCTCTAACATCAAACTCATGAGGGTTACATTGGTCACTGTGTCTAAAGTTTCAGAGTAAATTGTGTTTGTACCTATATATTTTAAATTTTAACACTTTTGAAGAGGGGCAGGATTTACAACCTAACTGTAAAATTCTTCATCGGGATAAAATTGTGTAGTTAAAACCTCAAACTGAGGATTGTTCTAAATCTGAAAAAGCACTAGCTCTAAGCCTTAGCACTAGCATTCATTTTGTATAAAACAGTATCTTAATAAATTGTCCTAAGTAATGGACATTCATGTCTTTAAATGTTTAAAATATAAGTTGATTAATTATATTCTTATTCTGGAATTGAAATGGAAATGAAAGGTTTCATATAATATTGATACATCATTTTAAAAATGTGCTCTCAAGCATATTTATTTTCCAGCAAAAGGGTGCCAACACAAAGGCCCTGAATTTGGAAATCGAAGGGGTTTTTCATAACTTTAAATCATTTTCTTTAAAAATAATAAACAATTGGAAGTCAACCCATTATGACTTCCTTATAGTCGGCATTTTTCCCATTAATGACTGAACTGAACTTAGCCCATTTCAGAGTGGTGCCAGATGTTAGCAAGTTTCAGTCCTGAGAGATGAAACTTAACACATCACAATACGTGCTCCTCGATCTCCCACTCCTATTTATTTTACCATATGTTAGAGCCCCATGAATGTACAGGAATCCAAGCTTTCACATGTGTTGCCTTTAAATTAAAAAAATATATATAAGAATTTGGTTGTTTAGGGGGAAAATATGTTGTTACCTTTGTACTCTGCAATCACCTTTAAGTACAGGATGTTTATTTCACCTTTTAAATACTTTTTTCTCCCTTAGCAAATTTCCAGATATTACTTACAGAGCTTCCCATTCTTTATGCTTTTAATTTTTAAAACTGTGTTACAACCATTCACAATTGTCACAAAAAAGCGTAGATGAGTAGATTGACAGTAAGATATACTAAACAGATTGGCTTCATTTAAAAAAAAATGTTTTTAACCTAATCCCAAAATTTGTATGTCTTCAAACTATGTTACAAAACAATAGGAAAAAAATTACCTACCTGCCTCAATTCCAGATGACCCTGAGAAGGGATGGGGATAGAATTCTTTAATCCTACTTCCTTTTGGTTATCCAGCAGGTTTTTTTAAAAAACAAAACAAAACAAAACATCAGGACCAGTAGGTGGTGTGGTGGATAAGGTGCTGCACACTCCCACATGGCTGACCACGGTTCAAGTCCTGGACCTGGTGGCTTGCTTTCTCTCTCTCTCTCTCTCTCTCTCTGTCTCCCTCTGGTTCAATTAAAAAAATAAATGAATAAATAAAATAAAATAAAATAATTCTTAAAAAACAAAACACAAACACAAACAACCAACAACGAGGAAAATCAGGCTATTAGAAGGGCAATAGGCCACAAAGAAAGTGGTGTCCCCAGCTGCCTCGCTCTCTATGTAAGCCATATCTGTATACAGGGAATATCTGCTCTTATTTGTTCATGTCTCCCACTGTTGATCCCAGAGAAACAGTCTCTAGGGTGTTTTCTCACATGACAGAAGTGTCTGGATGCAAGTGCCAAGTTAATGACCCTTTGTGGACCATAACTTTGACACCTATTGACTCTTATCTTAAGTCAGAAAAAGGCAGACTAAAATCTCAATACATCACCCAGACAAACAGGATACAACAGTGAAAGTTAAAAATGAGAGAATGGGATGAGACTTTCAGTAATTTTTTCTGTACTCTAATTTCTTTCCTTCCTTCCTTAGTTCCTTCCTTCCTTCCTTTCTTTCTTTATCTTTCATCCTTTAATAGGTGCCTCTAAAGAGAGAGAGAGAGGAGAAGAATGATTTGAATGTTGTTCTAAGAACTTCTTCTGAGTTGATGATACAAGAGCCCAGAGACTCTCCATTTCTCCCAGAATGAAAGACTGTATCCGACTCAAATTTCCAAAAGCTTCAAGATCTCCAATTGCTGGGCATCTGGTTTTTACAGAGAACGTTTAAAATTGCTTGGATTGAAATGCCAAGTAACAGGCACCCAAGTAGTTGGAACTCCTGGAATAAGATTGTCCTCATGTATTTCCTGTAAGAAAGAACAATAGGAGGGCAGGATCCCTTTGCCACTGCACAGACCAATCATTTCACTGACAGCAATAGCTCCATCGCTTCTCTCGCTAACCCTTAGCTAATAACTTTTCCCAATACAGTGTATTTCTTTACCAACTGTGTGACTGTGAAACTGTAGAATTCACAGCCTCCTTGGAGACAGCTGTAAATTAGTCTTTATTTGTCAAATGAAAATTTTTTCTTAGCAATCTGGAATAAAAGATTTGAAGAGTATGGTGTGTCACAGGGTACAGAGGTGAGAAACATTTTGCTGACAACTGCTTCAGGACAAGGTAGGGATTAAAAAAATAAAACTGAATAAACAGAAGAGGACTTCCTGCTGTATGAAACCAGGGCCCAGCTCAGGAAGAGATTAGCTAATTGTACCTCCAACTCTCTCCCTCTTTCAATGGAAATGCACAGGCTCTGAGACATAAAGACTAGAATGAAACATCTCTTCTCATCTACTACCACTTGCCAGGCAAGTTTAATTTTCAATTCTGCTGCTCAAAAAAACTACACATATTTCTTTATCTGAATCAAATTTCATTTACCTCTGAGCCAACATTCTACTAAGGTGGAAATTCATTCTCTGCATTCCTTCCGACCCTTTCCAGAACCATGCAAAAGTCCAGGGAGGTGTCTTATGTAGCACCAAAGCACCAGGGTGCCTATTTGTTACTGATGGAAGTTCCCTGTCCACCTGCTTCTGGGCCAGGGCCAACAGAGAAGGGCAATTTAGCAGGTAAACTATAAGCACTGCCCAGTTTTTTTTTTTGTTTTTTTTGTTTTTTTTTTAAGTACAGCATTTTGCCATGTTGCAGTCCTCTTGTCTCAGCTGTGACTACAGCATGCATCAACTTGGCATCAACATGCCAGGTTCTTTTTAAAGACTATGTTTCTCAGGTGTTTTGCAAGGTTCTTTCCTCCTCTGAAGGGTAGGTTGAACAGAGATGCAGAGTTGGAAAAAGACATGAGGCACTGATATATTGTTTATTGACTGAGTTTAGTGGGCACTCACAGCACTCTTAGTTGCTTGCAAAGACCATAGCAGGGTTCACAAGTACTTCCTCTCTTAGAGTTTGTAATGAGCAAAAAGAAAGCTCACAGAGCCATCTCCTCCCTCTAGGAGCTCACAGCGTTTGGAGCTGAGCTGAGCTGAGCTGAGCGAGCCAAGGCCAAGCCCAGCAAGACCATCAGGAATGAGCTGGCGGAACCAAGGCTGAGCTAAACATGGCTAGCTAGCTGGGCAGTGCTAGCTGACCAAATGCTACATTCTCTTAAAGGGGCTACAGACAAAAGTGGCTCATTGCCAAAACCAAACTGTCTCTCTCTCTCTCTCACACACACACACACACACACACATGCCCGCTACATTCAATGGTGTAAGACAGCAAAATTATAATTGCATAACAAGTGTGCAAGCACAGTGCAACTATTAACATAAATTGTTTACCCTGTGACCTTTGAACATAAGATAGGAGGTGAGGGAGCCAGACTAAACCATCTTGACTCCATCAGCACTACACCAAGCAAGCTCCAGATTTGTGATTTTCCTACCTCAGCCTCCCAAAATTGCTGGAATCACAGGCTCATGTGACCCTGTCTAGCCTTTAGGTTGGACTGGGAATCGAACCAGGGCCTCCCCGTGTGACCTTAGCCTGCATAGCGTGAGATCTTAGTAGCTCATGCCATTTTGACTGAGCATGGAACTCTTGATTTACTCTCCCCCAACCCCTCACCCAACCAAAAACTGCTACTTCATCCTTAATTTTTATAGGGCACTGCCATTCATGTACTCACCCTAAAAACTAAGATTCACCATTTACACTGTTCTTCTCATCTTCCACAGCCAGTCACCAAATTCCATTGTCTTCTCCCCTTTATTTCTTCTGCCATCATTCATGTCAGAACCACCACTGTTTCTCTTAAATATGAAGTAGCCTGCTATTTTCTCTGTTCCACTCTTCTTTTTTCTTTTATGCTAGAGGGCACATGCTCTGGCCAGAGAAAGACAGAGAAAGAGAGTGAAGGGGAACAGTAACACTGCAGTCCCTTCTCCATTTCTCCCTCCTGTCAGGATTTTGGGTTGACACACAGGAGCCCAGAGTGTTTCTCAAAACTGTATGTCTGGGACTTGAACCAACAGGAATTGGACTGCTTTAACTACCAGGTCACAGAGCCAGCCCCTCTGCTCCACTCTTGCCCCACTACAATCCATTTTCCTCACGATAGGGATAAGTCAGATCCTATCATTCTTCTCCTTCCAAGCTTTCAAAGGGCTTCCCATTGTACTTAGAATAAAAGCCATTCTTCTCACCCTGGCTTTCAAACTTGACTTGGTTTCTGCCTAACTCCCCACCCTCATCTCAGACTATTCTAGCCCTCCCTCATTAGGATTCACCCACCCTGTTCCTGCTCCCAGCACCGACCCTGCACAAGCAGACCAAGCGCATTCCTCTCTCTCTGCACTTGTTCTCTTGTTCGGTCCTTATCAGAGTTCCTCTCAGGGGCCTTCCCAGCCATCTCAACGAGGTGCCTCATTCCTAGTCACTATAGCATCTTTCCATTTTCTTTTTAGTAGCACTTCAAAATATTTAGCTTCATAAGTGGATGTCATTTGTGTTTGTTCACCGCTGTAATTCTGGTCCCTAGAAACCCAAGCGAGTGCCCAATGACTAGGGTGGCCAATCGCACGTGGCCAATCATCACAACTTCAGGACCTGAGGCTTTGCTCTCTCTGAATTATCTACCATCCTGAAAAGCGTTGGGCTTATTTTCCCCCAGTGTTGGTTCTTAACCGTGTGGTCCGCCCTAATTTTTGAGTAAAGGACTGACTACGGACTTTCTCTTAGTTCTCACTCTTTCAGCCACCCACCGCCCAAGGCAGGAATCCAATTTCTCGCGCACGCGTCCTGCAGAGAAGACCGCCTCACCGAGGGCTTTGTAGTGCGCATGTGCGGCTGGGTGGCCCGCGGCGGGAAGTGTTGCGCAGGCGCACTTGGCCGATTCGCTAGGTGGGGAGCCCTTGGAGGCGGCGACCCAGGCATCTGGGGCGCCACGGAAGTCGTACTCCCTTAAACCGTGAGTTTCCGACACGTTGTTCCATGGCGCGGGATCGTAAGGGGTTAGAAACGAGTTCTGGATCGTGATTTCGTTTTTGTCAGTGTAGTCTCCTCCGCCCGCTCCGGATCCCTCCGACCCGCGGCGGGAAAGTGGCGCGCCTGCGCATTAAGCACCCTCTTCGTAATCCGGTCAAGGGGAAGGAAGTACCTTTCCGCGGAGCTCGCGGCCTTCGCTCTTGGCCCCCTGACTACTTCCCATTCATTCCCCTTCTCTTCATCCGTCCCGCGCTCGTGGCCACTCTAGTGTCGGTTCTGTACACAATTTGGGTGGGGCATTGGATGGGCCTCCTGGCGCTCTCTTTATTGGTGGAGATTCCTCTCGGGACAAACAGCCCTCCGCGGCCCAGCCCTCTCTCCGTCGTCCCCAGCTGTCCTGGTCCCCACTGCCGCCCCGATCCCAGGCCGTCTCACCCCTTCCCGCCGCTGCCTGGGGCTGTCGAAGCTCCCCCACTGACAAGCTCCCCTTCAGTCTCCTCCTCTTCTTGGGAGGTGAAAGTAAAGCAATTGGAATTCCTTAGAAGTGGTCGCAGTTTTCCTTGGGTTTGGAATTGTACACTTGGTGTGTTTTTAAATGTTTGTTCCTTTGGGAGTAGCATTTTTAGTACTTGGTTCACTGAGCAATTTCAACTCACCTTCTCTAGTGTTCTCATTTTACAGCTGCTTTGCTCCTGTCGACATGACCTCTTAGCTGGCATTTTGGCATCCCGGTTTTGTGATGGAAGCGTCTTTAGGGATTCACATGGATGAGCCAATGTCTTTTTCTCCCCTGCGTGACCGGCTTCAGGCTGATGGCTCTTTAAAAAAGTATGAGCAGACTATTAAGCTTCCAGGTATGTGTCAGTTCCAAAGATGTGCAGGCAACAATTAAGTGTTTTCAATTGCTTAAAAAAAAAAAAATTGATCCTCAGGTGAGTTGTGTGTTTCTTGAGTAGCATTTTACAAATCGGTAAAGCTTTGTACAACCTAGATTTAGGATTGGTTGGCATTACAGGAAGGTCACAGTCTGTTCTTGTCACTTTACAGATGAAGTTCTTGTAGTATAAAAATATTAGCAACTCTCCCTAAGAAAAACTTGTCAGTGGCCCAAACTGGAATTTCTCTTTTACTAAACAAGTTCTTATCTCTGTTCACCATATTACATTAAGCTTGCATCTAGAGGTTGATCCTGGAGAGATCTTTACTTAGTATTCAAAAGCAGAATTCACTAAGAATAAATGAAGTGTTTGTACCAGTAATAATATCTGGCCAGCCCACAGTGGTTTGGTGATTAAGGTGGCTAGATCCAACATAGCCAGCTATGTGGTTCAAGTCCTAGATCTGGCAGCTTGAGAAACACGCTGGGTTTGTGTATGTGTGCATGCCATAATCCCAAAGGAAGGAGAGTAGGAGGACAAGGAACTTGGCTGTATTCATTCCCACATCCCATCTCACGTAGCAAGCTAACGCTTTCTGACTAAATTAGCAGATTGCATAGTGGTTAAGGTTCTAGACCCCCACATGGCTAACCATGGTTCAATTCCTAGACGTGGCAGCTTGAAAATCATGTCTGGTATGTCTACATGTATGCCCAAAATCCCAGGAGAAGAGTGGAGGGAAAGGGATTGTGTGTCCATCTGCTGGGGGGGGGGGTCATTTCTCACTTTCCCTCTCTCTATCTCTCTGATGAGTGCATTTACTCTAAAAAATTAAGGTTAGAAAGAAGAGAAAGTACCATCATCTCAGTGTTCGTTATGAAGTGTTTGCCTATAACTCAAACCTTGGGTTGAGGACAGAGTCAAACAATATCAGATTTGTATACCAAATGTATACCTTCATTTCTGCTTTAGCATAGTATTGGGACACAGGAAGCATTGAATAAATACTTATTAAGTAAAACTGTTTCAGTTAACTGAATTTTCCCCTAAAAGGTAGCTACATATTCTTTTCCATCTTTGCCTTTCCTGGCTTTAGTGCTGATCCAGAAGATACTAGTTTTGACCTTTTGTCTATGACATGGTAACTTAGCTTTAACAGAACAGCACTGACTACTATACTGCAAATAGACCATAGCCCAGCAAGACAGAAGCTGGAGGTATAGTTAAGGAGGCTATTGCTATGTTTAAAGCAGTAGGTTGGATATGTTATTATCAGAAAACAAAAATGACTTAAAATTTTAAAAAAGAAGCCTAGATCCTTGTGTAGGTCCTCATATGGACATTTGAATTAACTTTTAAAGAAATTATTTAATTTTATTTATTATCATTATTATTTTTTTAAAGCTGACCAGAGAGAGAAAGGGAAAATGAGAAAACAAGTCATCAGGTCCTGAACTTGAACAATGGTCAGCTGTGTCCAGTGCCTTAACTACCATGCCACTTGCTGGTGCCCTTAAATTAACTTTTTAAGTATATTATGGACTTTTCAGAGTTTTCCTCTAATCCTCAAAGTCTGTACTTGTTTCTGTTTTTAGTAGTAGTTTTCACCTTTTGATGTGAATGTTCTTTTCTGCTCTCTACCTCTAGGAAGTTTTACTGTTTAAAAAGGTGTTCTGTAGTGACTGGGAGCCCTAGTATCAACATATTTTAGGTACCAGCAGTTAGCATAATGGCTATGTCGCTGGACTCCCATGTAGTCGACTGCGGTTCGCGTCCTGGACCTGGTGGCTTAAAACTCACGCTGGGTGCATGTACGTGCATACCCAAGATCCCGAGAGGAGAATGGAGGAGATGGATGGCATGGCCATCCCCCCTGGGTAGTGATTTCTCGCTTTCTGTCTCTCTGTCTCTGTCTGTCTGTCTGGTGAGCCCACGCGCCCTATGGCAAACCCTCGCCCCCCCAAAAAAAATATTTTGAGTTTTGTAAGCACAGTAGGTACATAATAAATGAGTAATGGTACATAGCACATTAATCTTACTTAGTCATCATGCGCATGGCTTGTACATTACAGCATTTTCTTAATACGTATATTTTCTTTCTGGTGATTTCTAAGTTACCCAGAATCTGTTCTACTAACTGCCAGCTCATGCTTATTCAAAGGAAAGCTCTGAAGTATGGAACTCGAAGGGAAACCATAGAATATTGTAGCTGGAAGATAAAGCTCATCTGACTCAACCCCTTTGTTTTATAGGTTGAGAAACTGAGGACTAGTGTGGTTTATGACAGGACATAAATCCAGATCTTTAGATTTCAGGCTTCCTTTCTGTCAGTGCTGGTTAATAGAATTTCCTGTGATCATGGGACTCTTTCTGTACTGTCACACATGGCTAGTACCACTGAGAAAAGTAAATTTTTACTTAACTTAGTTATTCATTTGAATGCCTTCTTGAAACAGTTAAACTGTTGTGTACTACAAAGTTTTCAGTATTAATCACATATACAACAAAATATACAAACACCTGAAAATGTTTAGTAATGAAATGACTATAAACGGGTTCTTGAATTATTTCATTATATCTAAACACCACTGGTTTATAACATGCATCATTCTATGTACTCCTCAAAAATGCTACCAATTATACTGTGACAGTGGGGGTTTTTTTGTTGTTGTTTTTGTTTTTTGGTTTTTTGGTTTTTTGTTGTTGTTAGTGTTTTTGCCATAGTGCTTGTTAACCATCAGCAGAGAAAGACAGTGAGAGAGAAAGTGAGAAATCACACCCACTCCCAGCCTTCTGAGGGGAATGGCCATACCACAATCCCTTCTCTTCCATTCTCCTCCTGGGATTTTAGACATACACACATATGTGCCTGGTGTAATTTGAAAGCCCCCAGTTCTGGGACTCAAACTGCAGTCAGCCACATGAGAGTCTAGCACCTTAACCGCTATGACACCTGCTGACCTGACAGTGCTTTCTTATCACGTAGAACATTTTCATTTTATACTTATTAAAGGTGTTCTTTTAGACCTAAATTAGACAAATAATTGTACATACATTAAAAGGGAGATTAATATTTCAGGTCTGTCCTTTCTGAATCACTTTTTGTACTTAGACTAATTAATGTCTTATTTTTCCTTCACAATATTGTTCTGTATACATTATTAATATAGAATTTCTTTGAAAAATTTATTAAAAAATAAAAGTCATTGTTAATGGCTGTTAAGAAGAGTGCAGTTATTTGGAGCTAGTCTACATTTGATTGCATCATTGCCTCCCCCATTCCTACATTATACTCTTAGAGGTTAAATGAATGTTCCTGTGATTTTCTTCAAGTCACTGACACCTATTCTATAAGTTTTGATGCTATATGACAACTGTAAGATGCATCCTAATACTGGAGTTGTTAGAATTTGTCTCAGAATTTTAAAAAAGTACTATCAAATTGAACATACCTTTTTTAAAAAATTATTTTATTTATTCATTCATTTGCTTTTTAATTTGACAAGAGAGAGACAAAGTGAGAAAGCAAGCCACCAGGTCCTGGGCTTGAACTCTGGTTAGCCATGTGGGAGTGTCTAGTGTCTTAACCACCACACCTGCTGATTCCAAACAAACTATTTTAATGCCCATTCTGGTACCTTTCCTGTGACATTGTGGAATTTGAAGCTAGTTGAAATCGACACTCATTAGGAAAGATTGTAATTGACTGTAGCAACTGAGATTTGCTAGAAAACCAACTTTTCTCCCAAGCCTTGGTTTTGGCTTCTAGAATAAAGTAGTATCACAACTGATAGTGAGATAGCTGATCCTGTCTTTGGCTTCATTCTGTCATTACTTCTAAACTTTTGCTTTTTTTCCTATTGCTGGATACTATAATGTTAGTAATGATTTCATTTATTCAACAAATGTTCCAGGCCCATTTATAACTAGAGCCTGAGTATACCATGGTAAATCATACAAACAGGGAACTCCTGGACAGATGGAGCATGTATTCTAGTGGGAGGAGGCAGGAGGCAAACAAAAAAAAAAAAACAGACTAATTTTATAGTAGATAAGTACTCTGAAAAGAATGGGAAGAATGCTAAGTGAGATAGGACATCAGAAGAGACTGACAATTGAGCTAGGTCTTTAAGTCATAAGGGAAGAACATGTCGAGCAAAGGAACTAGCAAGAGCAAAATTTCTAGAGAAATAATGTTAATAATGGTAACTACAACAATAAGAATTACCACTGTCATGTATACTATACCACATAATGTGTATAAAGCTTTGCACTGTGTGTGTGTAATATCATTTAATCCTCATAGTACCTCAGTGGCATGAGTACTTGTTTTTTATTTTTGGACATTTCTTCCATGAGTAAGAGAGAAAGAGAAAGGGGCATCCCCAAAGGACCAGAACCCACCCCCTGGTTTAGCTAGTCCCAGATTATGGGTGCATGCCTGACACATTCAGGAAGGTCTCCAGATGCAAATCTGGAACTTTCCCATGTAGGTTGGCCTTGCAGAGTGTTGTGCTAGTGCTGCATCACTGTGTGGCCCCAGCATGGGTACTGTTATTACCCCTTTTCTATGGATGAGGGTACTAAGGTTTGCTAGATAAGATTGTGTGCTCAAAAATGTCATTATCAGCTGGTAAGTAGGACAGCCACATTGAGGCTTAAATACCAAAATTCATGAAGGTTCTGTAGTCCTTTAGAAAGGGTAATTTAAGTAAGTTCTTCCCATTTCCTTAGATAGGTTGATACAGTAGAAAGAACAGTGGACTAGATGGTTGGTTTCTTTTTTTTGGTCTCCTGCTCTTAATGTGCTTTCTTCCCTTCAAATCTATCCTCCAGTTGTTGTTTTTCTGCTAAAAGCTTTATGTGGCTTTCACTTTCTCTCTTTCCC